TAGCTGCCCCGCCCCCTTCCCTGCAGCCCTGCCATGTTTCCCTGCCTTCCAGGTGTCCCCGTGGCCAGCTTGCAAAGGCAGGCAAGCGGAAGGCTGCGTGGAAGGCAGGGAAGCATGGCAGGACTGCAGGGAAGGGAGCAAACAGCCTACACCCTTCCCCGAGGCCTTGCCATGCTTCCTTGCCTTCCATGTGGTCCCCATGCCTGCTTGCCTTCTGAGGTCAGCGTCCAGCCCAGCCTGGCTAGGGGTGGTGGGTGGCCCTTGGTGGAAACACAGACACTATGCTGGGGTTGAGAGGAGCGGCAGTGGCGATGCTGCGGGAGGCCAAGCGAACATCCCAGGGCTGCTACACATGCACCTGCTCCATTTCTGCAAAGGCAGGGCTCCCCCCCCCCCACTGCAGGGTGATCCAAAGAGGGGAGGATGCTGCAGAAAAGGCTGCCTTCCACTCAGGCCCGCATGCCTCTCATGCTGGCTCTGAGGGACTTCGGGCTCCAAAGCAGGCCACTGGCTTCCCACTCAGCCACCTGCCTGCTCCTCAGCTGGGTCATCGCTTAGCGCCAGCGAAGAAGCGAAGCAAGAGGTGAAAGCCACTGGCAGGTGGGAGGGGCAGTCTCCTACGCAGGGAGCGGTCTCCTTCGCCCGGAGCACCAGACTCCACAGGCTGAGTTCCCGGAGTAGTGCCGGTGACTGGATGGCCAATCTGCCAAGAGAGCAGACAAGTTGCTGGGTGGGAAGCCAGTGGGCTGTTTCAGAGCCCAAACCCCTGCGGAGTGAGCACGAGAGTCCTGCATGGCACAGTTCCAGGACAGCAGGATATTCTTTCTTTCGGTAGTAGTAGAAGAAAGAAAGTGCTCCAGGAGGTCAGGCAGTGCACATGTGCAGCAACCCCAGGGCATTTCACCGGTGCCTGCCCTCCAGGAGAAGTTTCTTCCTTCTCCTGCTGCCAAAAGAAAGAATATCCCGCCATCCCAGAACTGCGCCGTGCTGGGGAGTTCTCCTGCATGGATGCGCCTGGCAGCAGCAGCAGCAGCATCAACAACACAGCACACCCTGTCTTCAGGGGTCCATTCCCCCGGCCAGATCAACTGCAGTGGCACCAATGGACAGTGGGATATTCTTTTGGTGGCAGAAGGAAGAAAGTGGTCCAGGAGGGCAGGTGGTGCACATGTGCAGTACTGCCAGGACATCTGCCTACTGCCTGCCCTCCTGGAGCATTTTCTTCCTTGTCCTGCTGCCAAAAGAAAGAACATCCCACTGTATTGCTGGTCCTGTGCAGCGCAGTTTCAGGATGGTAGAGAGCTAAGGCAAGCTCTTCTGTCACCACCACCAGGTGGGAGGGGTGTCAGCACACACAGAACTCCCTGGTGCAACACAGTTCTAGGATGGCGGAGACATAAGGCAAGCTCTGCTGCCACTGCCACCAGGCACGTCCGTGCAGAACTCCCCAGGGAGAGGCAACTGAAGGCAGCCAAGGGAAACATCTTGCTGCTCAGCGCTTCCATCTCCTTTCTCCCCCTTCTGAGACAAAACAGGCCATCAAGCCAAACGTCCCACACCGCTTTCTCGCTCCTGCAGGGGGAGCGGGCAGTCCGGAGTGCGGCAGGCCACGGATGAGCGAGCAGAGCGGAGCGGATGGCTACATTGAGGGGAGGAGGGGGAAATGCAGGGTGAGCGGGCAGGCCAGAGCATGGGCTCGCTGAGGTGACCTGGATAGCTTTCCCATCTCCCTAGCAGAAGAAGCTCGGCCTTCTCCTTCCCGTCCCTGATTTCAACCTGGCCACGCTCCCCTTGGCAAGCAGGGTGTGTGTGGGGGGGGGGGCACAGACGGTTCAGTGCTGTAGAAGCAGTGCCAGCGGGGAGAGGGCGAATGTGGGGCAATCCTGTTCTCAATTATCATCATAATTCAAGGTCTATTTGTATAGCAACTCCTTGTTTAGCAGCTATTGCTTTGTGAATATTTTCAAATATAATGGCAAGTTAAAAACAATTTCTGACCAATGCATGCATTTACAACCAATTTATTTTCCAGATTCTTTTTATCCTGCCTCTTATTTTTAAAAACAACTCAAGGAGGAGAACATACATAATGCTACTTTTGGTTGGTCCTAAGCAGTGGGCCTTTTCTGGTGTGAAACCGACATAGTAAAATTGTGAAATATGCTATTATTGACACCCCTCCATTTATTATTTTCTTTTTGTTTTAGCTTTGCTTTTTAGATTTTAATGGTTTTTAATTATATAATGGGCTTAGGTTATAATTGCTTTATATGCATACTGTTTTATAGGATTGCTGTGTGCTACCCAAAGTCACCATTTGTGAAATGGGTAGCCATATGAATTTGATTAATAGTTAAATAAATAATATTCCTTCCTCCACCATTTTCTCTACAACAGCAACCTTATGAGGTAGGTTGGACTAATAGAGAACGACTGGCCAAGGTCACCCAACTGGCTTTCATGCCTAAGGAAGGACTAGAACAACCAGACTCCTGGTTTCTAGACCAACACCTTAACTAAAGGTAGTCCTCGAGTTACGACAGTTGAGCCCAAAATTTCTGTTTCTAAGTGAAACATTTGTTAAGGGAGATTTGCCCCATTTTACAACTTTCTTGCCACAGTTTTTAAGTGAATCATTGCAGTTCTTAAGTTAGTAACACAATTGTTAAGTGAATCTGGCTTTCCCATTGACTTTGCTTGTCAGAAGGTCACAGAAGCTAATCACATGATCCCGGGACATTGCAATTGTCATAAATTTGAACCAGTTGCCAAGCATCTAAATTTTGATCATGTGACTAAGGAGATGCTGCAACAGTTGTAAGTGGGAATAACAGTCATAAGTCACTTTTTTCAGAGACTTTGTAACTTTGAATGGTCACTAAATGGACTGTTGTAAGTCGAGGACTACCTGTATTACACCAGCAAAAGTCTTCAGGCTGAAACTGATTAAGCTCTGGACAGTTTAAGGCATCAGCAGATATGTTCAGAGGGTGCTACTAATAATAATAATTAAGGTCACAAAACTCATCATTGTAACTTTTGAGTTAGCACATTTTAGGGAAGCATTGAGCTGTGCAGAAAACTCAGGAAGATATTGCTTAAGCAATCTATACAGCCTGAGGCAGTAAAAAAGGTGGCAGTGGCACTCTCTTTCTCTCTCTTTCTCCTTCTTTCACCATTTCACTTCTAGGAACTGATTGTGATGGTTAAATGAGGAGAGTATATAGCACCTAAAGCAGGGGTAGATAATTTTAGATCTTCACATGTTGTTGCTCTAATTCTCATCTGTTCTAATCAATACAACTTTTATGAGGTATGTTGGAATTTTCTGGAGAATCAAGTCTTGCCTTTCCCATTTAAAAGTCTCTCTTTGATGTTCAGCTTAAAATCTGTTAAGAGATATTCAAGTACAGGTAGTCCCTAAATTACAATTATTTGTTTAATGACTGTTCAAAATTATAATCGCACTGAAAAAGTGACTTACAACCTGTTCTTGCACCCACAACTGTCATAACATCCCTCATGGTCACCTGATCAAACGTTGGGCGCTCTGCAACTGGTATATATTTATGACAGTAGCAATCCTGGACTCACATGATCACCATTTATTATTCACAGTCAGAATCCCCCTGTGAGGGAGATGGGTGGTTTAAAATGTGAAAAATAAATAACTTTGCAACCTTCCCAGCTGACAAGCAAAGGGGAAGCTGGAGTCACTTAACAACCATATGATTCACTCAACAATTGCAATGATTCACTTAACAACCACAGCAAAAAAAGGTGTACAATTGACCCAAGTCACTTAACAACCACCTTGCTTAGCAATGGAACTTCCAGACCCAATTGTGTTTGTAAGTTGAAGATTACTTGTATCATAATTTGTTCAGAGTGATGACTATGAACAGTAATTATATACTAGAAAGCAACATATATACCTGCTAGTGCTACTGTATGTCCTCCTCCACAGACAACCTTATTAACTCTACTTGGAATTCCAGAAACAAGCTGTGGGATTCTATTGTTTTTCAGTTGTTCAAGTGACAAACCTAGTTTCCCATTGTCAGACTCCCCAAAAGTATAAAGTTCTCCATCACCTATAGGAAACAAAAGATTAAGATTCATGACACAAAGAGAAAAGACATTCATTTGTGGAATACTTTATGCAGACTTTCTTTGTTATACTTGTATTATGTACATGGAAATTCTCAGTCATCCAGGTCATGGTTGTCCCAAAGGTGCTTTTTTCAAAGGCAAACTGGACTTTCTGGTTTTTCTTTGAAGATGTTTCACTTCTCATCCAAGAAACTTTTTCAGCTATGCTAACTTCAACTTTTTGAAAAATAAACCATGTAATGCTAGAACAGAATAGAACAGAATTCTTTATTGGCCAAGTGTGATTGGACACACAAGTAAATTGTTTTTGGTGCATATGCTCAGTTTACATAAAGAAAAAATAAAATATAGTCATCAAGAATCATAAGATACAACACTTAGTGATAGTCATAGGATAATAATAAGCAATCAAATCATAGTAGGAAACAATAAAACAATATAAATTGTAAAGATACAAGCAACATGGTTATAGCCATAAGTGGGAAGAGATAGGTACTAGAAAGGATGAGAAGAAGAATAGTAATACANTAGATACTTAATTTTACACATCGTTATGGCAGCGAGAATTATATTCGCACAAAACTGGAAAAATAATTATATATCAACAGAAGAAAATGTAATTAAAAAATTATTGGAATGTGCAAAGATGGATAGGCTCACGAAAGAACTAAAAGAGAAAGACGAATCTGGGATTTATTGTACAATTGGCTAGAGGAAAGGAGGGGAAAAGCAGGAAAGCAAAAAAGAAAGGAAGAAACAATAGACAACTGCCATTGTCAGTTTGGCCAAACAGGTGCGTTAAAGCAGAATACCACCTCTGCTGTATAAGATGTATAAGTTGTAAATTTGTAAATTGAGGAGTACCTGTAAACAAAACATAAGTTTACCTGTTTCATGATCCATAATAGATTCAGATTCTTTATTTCTATCAGTTCTGCAAAGCGGAAGAGTATTGCTGATGTAATTTGTTGCAAGTTTTAGGGAAGTTTTCCCCAATGGGGGAAGCGTTCGCACCAATCGACTACATTGTTCTGGTGATTTTTCCTTCTGAAAGAGTTAGAAGAAAGCAAATCAACATTTATATTAGATTTTTAAAGAATAATATACAGAATATATTAAATTAAAGATACTATCCATATTTCAGATTTTGGAATAGACTCTGAATCAAAACTAATTCACTTAGAATTTTGGTGAAATTTTTAAATTATCTGAGCCAGAGTTAATTTACATATTTAAGATTTAATATAATTCAAACCTTAATTTTAAGATATAACTTCATAGTACGCTTGAGTAAAAATTCAAGTTTATAAATTAGAAATAATGTAACCTTTTATTTATTTAGAGAAAGACAAAAAGATAGTATTGTTTTTTGTGTACTGTCATTGATTTACTTTTATACTGCCTAGGATTGCCTTATCAGGGAGATGTGTGGCATATAAATTTAATAAACAAATAAGTCCTACCATTTCATTAATATCAACTAGGGTTTCCAGTCTCATATTTTATATTCATTCCGTGAAAGTATTACAGACCTATTCTTTCCTCTGATTCCAAAAATTACAATAAAAAATTCATCATGAAGATAAAACATTTCAAGAAAAAAGTTCTAAAACTTAAAAGACTTTTAAAGAAATCTTTTAAATTTTTAAACCTTTTTTACACACAATTTTTAACAGCCAGTTTGGAACAGTAATAGTATACCTTCTCTCTCCGTCGCACACGTGCTGAAAATGTTTGCTGAAATGTGTCTGCATCTCCTCCCTTTTCAGAGATTTTAAGAGATAAATTTGGCTCATTTTCTTCTAGGTCATGAATGTTATCAATTTTTTTAGGCCTTGGGGTGGCAAAAATAAGCATATGACAGCCACCACAAGCAGCCTATAACATAAACATAGTAAACTTTATTATTAGAAGTGCTACATACTGGTTCATAACCCTGAACAGAAAAATATTTTCCTGAGTTTAGATTATTATTAATTAGTAATCTAATAATTTAGACTTTTTAATATCTCAAAAACACATAATGCCAAACTAAATGGGAAAATCTACATTATCATACAAGGTTATATTTATTGATTTTTTAAATCAAGTCTGATTTTTTGTTGGAAAAACCCTATTATTTTGTTTAATGTTCATTTCACCAGGATCATTTTCTACAAATCTTTAATTTATGTTTAACTGAAGAAGAACCACCAAGAAATATAGCCAAAACCTTTGAATCCAAGGTTTGTTAATATACTCTACTGTTGCTTTTGCCGAATGTGTTCCTACTTCCTAAGAATCCCCTCTAACTGCTGCTAATGTTTTAAGAAATAGTGACTATAAGAGAAAATTAAAATAATTGTCACTATATCTACATATACTTGACAATGCTAGATACAGGAAAATGTTTAATGAAAATATTTTTTAATAGTTAAGGAATGAACTGACATAATGCATTGAGGGGTATTAATACAATAATTGATCACATGCTGCCAAATAACTTCAGGGGTGGATGCAAACTAAACTCTGTATTTTCTGCGAATCTCATTCCTCTTAGTACTGTAAGATGAAAAGAGGATGAGCTTTTTGATGTTACAAAAGGTAGGTGGTTTGAGACATCTTTCTAAACTCAAGTGTTCCCAAGCATAGATACTTCTACACAAAAAGGTGGTATTTAGCAGAGGAGAAAAATATATATCTATTTGCTTAAACACCTGTAAGTCAGTTCTACTGTATATCTGTTAAAATATAATGTAATTGTATGCATGGGTACTCAGACATAAATCTTAATTCAATGAAATTTAATCCTAAAAAAATAAGTACAGATTTCTATTTTGATTTTTAAAAAAATATTTTATTTTAAATACAAATAATATAAATATAATACATATAAATCTAAATACAGAAAAGGGAATAAAAACATTACAGTGTACCCCCACCTGAGACCATTTTTTTCTTATTTTTCTTCTTCTACCTATAACAACTAAAAGATACAATATATTCCAATTGTGCCCTTATCCCCTCCAAAACAACATATATTCTTGAGTAGGTTTATTCCCTTTGCCTTCCACCAATACTATTTTTATGAAATCCCCCCAAATTTCATTATAATCCTTTAATCATCCCTTTTTAAAATTTAATTTCTGTTGTTAATTTATCTTTTGTTGCCATACTCCAAATTTCATTATACCACTCATTTCTTTGAATATTCCAATTTCGTCCCCAATATTTAGCCATCACTAATCTAGCTGCCATTAGCAAATTTACAATCAATTCCTTTTTTGTTTCATTTATATCCTGTTTTTCCACCAGCAACAGTAAAACAATTCTCAGTGACATGTCTAAATTTACATTTAAAAGTGCTCTAATTTCTCTATGTCCCATATGTTTTGTGCACTATCACAATCCCACTACATATGTTTATACGTTCCAACCATTTTCTTACACCTCCAACAAATATTTGTATATTTACCATCTATTTGATTTAATTTACGTGTTGTTAGGTACCATCTCCATATCATTTTATATCCATTTTCCTTAACTCTAACTGACATATTCTTATATACTCTTCTATTCCAAATATTTTTCCAATCATTATCATTTATTTCTCCCAAATCTGATTCCCAAATTAATTTTAAATCTTTTGCCTACTCTTCTAATTCAGTCAATATTCTATATATTTTCCCAATTCTTCCTTTCCCTATATATTCTTCATTCACCTCACATTCTTTCATAATCATTTCAAATTTTGTTAACAGTCTATCTTTCTCCTTGAATCTTTCTTCCACTTTTACCCATTTCTCTAACTGCATTAAATTCAACCAATTTAATTTAATATCTGATAAACCGTACTTTAGTTGTGTTGTATTCTTTTTCTTGTTCTTTCGGTCTTCCCATTTATATATCTGATTTTCTTTTAGTTTATTAATCCATTCTTTTAATTCAATCTTAGGGAATTTCTCCATTTCCACCACCGGTGTTAAAGGAGAAATCCCTGGCATTAAC